TATGGACCTGCGGCGAGTGATCAGCTGGTCGGTGGGCGGAGATCGCCGGACCCGCCAACTTTGAGGCATGATAGGTCGCCGAGGTCAAATTTTTCATGCGAATTGCGCGTCAGTTCGCACCCTCAGGAGGTCCGTGGGTCCCTCAACTAGGTCATTACTTTTCTTCGACCTTCATTCTAATCGTGAATTCCTCCTTTTAATGAATAGCTTCTCAGAGACACTAGCTGTGACTGTGCAAACCGCTTTTGACCAGCGTTTCAGGGACGTCGTAATGGTCTATGGTACCTCGACGACCTCGTTGAGCTCGTACCGTGAACCATGTTTCCGTGGGAAAATCTTCTGATGTCGTCGGTGTAGAAGGCTGTTGTAACTTTTTGATAGATTAGAACTGTGCTCTTCAATATCAGTTAAGCTCATTTGGTTTGGTTTTGCAACGTAATTAATTCCGTTTTGAATGTGGAGGAAGTGACTTTTTTTGCCCCCTGTACTAACTTCACCCCCCCCCCCCGAAGAAATAAAGCGGTGGTTGAGCGAGATTGTACAGTTGACTGTCCTCCTCGTGCTACAGTAGGAGACGATATTTGATACGAATTTTTGAATGGCCAGTCTGCTGAGCCTTCTTGTGAACTTGTTAGAAAAGGGTACGGGGCTCTGTTCAGTTTATACATATTTGAATGAAAATGGTATCGAAAGAAAAAAAGAATGACAGATATAGAGACTCGGTTGTCCCCAGTTGTTTATTCCCCATGAAAGCCGCCCAGCAACGGACGCTCAATGCTTGGCTTTGAAAAAACTGGAATATCATTATAAAAAATAGAAATAATGATCAAAATTGTATACGGTGGCTACGGCATAGCGATAATAGTCATATCTCGATAAGAAAGTCAATAAGTGTAAAAAATACGACAATGCATTTTATACCTTTCTGGGAGGTCACGCCCGAGGAATCCAGCGGCTTTACGTGAGCATACGTAATGGACGAAATTCTGAATTTGAACAAGTTATGATCTCTTGCAATATTATGAGAGGCAACATTCAATAATAAGAAACAAAATTATGCGCTAGGTTTCCACCACCTCTCGGTCGCGCCATTTCTTTTGCAGGAGCAAAAGGCTTGGTCGATCTGAGCGCGATGAGACCCGAGTTTTGACCCTTGACTGTGCGCACGTAAGCTGCGCCTCTTGTCACTATAATTCAGCCGCAGGACAAGAAATAGCGCGGATTTCAACTTCCAGTATTTATTGATCAAATTAGGTTAGCTGTTATGTAAATATTATACCCCATCCTATCGCAAAGTGAATGTATTGGTGAAAATTTACCGTGCATATTTTATCGATGTCTCCTTGATAACCGCGGATCCATCGCACTAAGTTCAGATCGGTGTCGAGATCTTCGGGAATTTTCTTTAGAGACTCGTTCAGCCTGAACGTGAAACATTATTGCCTTTTTACCGATGCATTCGTAGAAAGTAAAGGTGGGTAATTAAGAAAATTGGTGGAAATTGAAGGTTGGATAATGAAAAAAATGGCGGAATAAAAAAGAAAACAAAGAGAGACTACTGTAAAATTCATTCGGAGACTTATAGCTAAAGAGTACAAATATCTAGACCCAAAAACTGAGAAAAAAACAAAAGTATGGGGGAATTGTACTGATTCAAGACAAAGGCGCTATCGCAATATCCAGGACTAAGCCTAGGAGGGCAGGGGCTCCTGGGGAGAATGAAAATGGCTAACACACCGGGAAAACGAAAAATGTAACACCTTGGGTCTTCGGAGCAGGGTCAACCGTCCGTTCGAACTGTTCGAACGAAGGGGTCGCATTTTGGTCGGAAGGGGGTCGCAATTTCGAGGACTGCCAGCCACAGGCGCGTGCGTGGCGTATCCGAGGGCAAGACTTGCTTGTGCAGACCGCATTAGATTCGATTATTATGCACAGAGAGACAGTTTTAGGCAAATTACGGTGTTTTCCTTGAGGAATAAAGAACAGTTGAATGCATCCCTATGAAAGGTTTGACTTCTCGGGGCTGAAATTAAAGTTCTTCGGGACCTAATTTTCTGAGGACGATTCTTCCAGACAACGGACAATAAGAAAGCAGAAATCTCGTAGTCTTCAAAAATGTCTTCGCCCCTCCCCAACAAGTTCTTTGAAGGAAGTTATTATTGCTGAAAGCTCAAAAACTCGCATGTGCTGCTCAAAAACCTATGGGAACAAAATGTTCGAACGTGTGATTTTCTCGGAAAAATGGATTTTGAAAAACGGTTTGGTGCTTGTCAGAAAGAGCAAATCCTGTACTTTCACCCATGAAAAAAGTGCATCACAGAAATGAAAATGAAGTGAGTTATGCCCGCTTAAAGCCCAAAAACTCGCGATTTCAAAAAAAGTGTTCGGCAAAACCCCCCAAAATGTTCGAACGTGTGATTTTCTCGAAAAATGAACTTTGAAAACGGTTTGGGCTTGTTAGAAAGAGCAAATCCTGTACTTTCACCCCATGAAAAAAGTGCATCACAGAAATGAAAATGAAGTGAGTTATGGTCGCTGAAAGCCCAAAAACTCGCTTTTGCACGAAAAATGTTCGAACGGGACAATTTTTTGAAAAAGGGGACAATCACTAAACTTTTTATACTGTTTTGTTAGAGAAATATTTGAAGTTTCTGAAACTTTTTACAGATTTCCAAAATGTCGCATACGAAAGATTTTATGGGCCTTCAAAGTTGAAGGTGCGCCTTCTTAGAATTTTGGGTTTTCCACTTCTAACAGAAGTACTTTCCGGAGAGTTAGGCAATCCTTGTAGTTTTCTGGAAGCGCACCTCAGGCACAATCAAAATCTACCTCAACAAGTCAAAAAAATACGTCCCAAGAAAGTTATTCCCCTCTAAAATTTTTTCTTCGCCGCGTCCCGTTCTTCCAGCGCCCGGGTGATACCTGCCGCGCTCCAAGGCGACGACGCGCGCAGACGCTTTCTGGCGCAACGGATTCATGTCTAGCACTCTTATTAACAAAAACAGGGGGTCGCAACTGGACCCCCTCGAGAGCTAGGGGGTCGCGAAAATCCCGAAAATGTTCGAACGTGACGGTTGACCCTGCTCCAACCTTCTAAGGTTAGCCCCGTCAAAAAAAAAAAAAAACTCTACGCGCGTCGCAAACGCCACACCACCGCGCGACAATATACAGGAAATAAATGGGAAATATTTAAAAAAGTAACAATAAAGAACTAGTGAGTACAATAAACAAATATAGTGGAAATGATGCATCGTCACAACAAGTTATACCAAGAACGTTACTTGAGCCATATCATACAGAAACTAAGCATGGGAAGTATTCACAAAAAAAGCTAAAAATCATTTCGAACACAGTATGAAACTCAGAATAAATACAGTAATAAATATAATCAAAAACATCAGTTATTGTTTTGTTTTTTTAAAAAAAAATGACCTGGAAAATGCATTGAAACAGTTTCTAATACATTAATATAAAACAGAAAACATTAAAAAATAAAGAAAATGTCCCGTCATAAAAAATGAAATGAAATCTGATAAGCATATCCTAATCAGGCTACCGGAGTTGTTTGAATTTAGTGTTTCATGAAACCTCTCCTGCTTCTCAAGCCGTCTACGGATCAAGTAGTCGATGCTTATGTTCAGCGGCAGAATCGGATCAGCTGCCCGAGTTAAGAATAGTATATATTTCGGAAGAAGAAAAACTGATTTTCAAACAAGAAACTCTGGCAGGAAAAACAAAGAGGGGAAAATCACGCTCGTCGATACAATTGTTTTGGGAATAAGAAACATTGAGATACGGGTGGTTAGAATGAACGACAATAACGCGTCGTAGAAAATACTTTAGTTGGGAGGCAGTAAATAATCAACAGTTGTCCGAAATTCCATTAACTTTCGAATTACTTCACTTCCAGAAATACGAATATACTACACCAGAGGTGGTAGCTACCTAAGGCGTAATTTCTTGGCAACCTTAAAGGCACTTCCACGACAAGATATGCTTACGCATAAAAATGGAGGTGTGAGATGTGAAACGAAACAATTCAGAGAATAAAAAAGGCAAATGAACAATGAAAAATACGAAATTAAGGGAATCTGGCGTTTCTTGCAATGTAGGCAGTGCCACTATGAAGAGATACTAGATGGCGAGGAGAGAGCAAAGACGAGAGAGCACAAGGGATGTGCGAGACGCAGACAACCTGCCGGCTGAACTGTTGTGCTCCACAGCAGCTGCTCCACTCGTAGGCGGCGAGGCTCTATGGCGCGCACTTACAAGGCGAGCTGAACTTTACTCATTTTAACTAATTGTAGTATTTCATTTGTTTTTTTTTTTTTATTAAAGCCCAGGAGTCTGTTGCAAGACAAGTAGTGAATTTGAGTGAGCGGACTGTGTATCTTCTAGGCCAGCGATGTATTCACCCCTTTGATGCGACGTGCGAGAACTTTCACTGAGATGGACGTAGATGGAAGAGCTGAGAAGAATAGTGATGGCTGTCACAATGAGGTCGTAAAGTGAAACGTGTTGGGCCGTTTCATCACCCGGGGAAGAGACTCTAATATCTGTCAGTAGGTGAGTTGTATGTGAACTTGATTGGTTATGACTTCGTGAAAATACGAGCACGAGAAGGGAAGCGGACATCGCAGAATTACAGGGACTGGCTCAGGACGGTATTCCAGCTCCGCATTTTTTGTCACCTTTATTTATTGTTTATTCGCCAAATGAGTAATGCTTTCTTGTGATGAAGTCTCATTAACACACGTTCCTTGGCATGCCTAGGGTGCTAGGACGCAATAAGTAGACAAATAAACAAAATAAAACATGTAAAATACCCTCCATAGAGCAAAAGGCGAAATAGGACCAAAAATAGACGTATAAAAAAAAGTTGATTTGTAACAAACACCCAATGAAATGGAGGCGGGACCATTTTCTGTCATTTCATTTGGAACAAAGGTTGCCATTCTTTAGGCCACTAGGAATTTCTTCTGTAAGCTGTTGTTTCAATATAAGGATCGAAAGATAATGAGTAATGGAAAAAGAGGAGAAAGGATAGTGGAGGAGAAAGCCTAATGAACGGCTGTACGGGTAAAATTATCTTGTGAAGTGAACCAATACGTAATAGGAATGAGATCGACGGTATACCCTAGGACCTTGAAGTTGAATTAATAGCGTAGCGAGGTGCGGGGGGGGGAAGGTCGGGAGGGAGACTGACTTCGAAAGACGTCCGTAGCCTCAGGCGTCCAACAGCAATTGTGAGCCACAGCACAAGGAGTGGATTTCGAACGGGGTCAGCGTGAGAAAGGGGTGGAGCGCCGCTTCGTATCGGAACAGATTGTATGGCTTGATAATCGAGGGGAACAAAGCGATCTTTCACGGCAATCGTTTTTTATGATGTAAAAAAACATTGGTGCAGATGTAGACGTATTAGAAAGCGTAGATTTTCGTAGGAGATAAAGCGAAATAGATTGAATGAATGTAGATTGAAATGGTCAGTGCTCGTCAGATCTAATCCGGTTCGGAATTTCTGGCTCAATAAATCTACGGATCTATTTCTTGGTCCGTCAGCAATGTCTAGACGCTGCCCATCCGCTTTCGTACGTATCTCATTACGTTCCTTTTCTCTGCACATCATCTCTAAAATCATCTATAATTCGACTCGATGAAGAGCTTAAAGGTAGTGGCTGCGACAAAGCAGTTCTGCACCAGGAATGTAGCGGTAGCCAAGTGGCGAGAAAACGAAGCCTGGCGTTCAATATTTGAGCTAACCGCAACGCAGCTGGACTTCAAATAGGGGCCGGCACGTCTCCTCTGGAACCGCCCAGCCTCTAAAGGTGGTTATGGAAGTTTGTGATAGTGTTATCATT